TTTAAGTAACCCTGGCCAGGTAATTCAATAGGTTGGTGCATTGTCCCAATATGCCAAGGTTGTGGGTTTGATCCCCAGTCAGGGCACATACAGGAATCACTCAATGAATGCATAAATAAGTGGAAGAGCAAATTGATGTTTCTCTCTCTTAAAACAATAAATAAAAAAAAGTAAAATCCTTTACATAGTTGCTGGGTTTTGACTATCACCTGGAATACCCTCATACCTCCTACTTACCCACCTAGACTTCTGAAAATGGCCTGCCTACTGCTAGCACAGGCAGAGCCCTGAGAACAAAAGACCACTGGACTCATTCAGGACACCACAAGTGACGCGCTTCATTACTAACTCAAGTTCACCTACTTTCTAGCCCCATGGATAGTTCTTACTACTCTCTCTCAGCCATAGCTGACTTTCATAAGGAGCAGAAACCTGGAAAGGAATGCCATTTTGGAAGTTGTCTTTTAATGTTGGCCTCCTAAATCTTTAACTTGCCTTAATAGTGACTTTTCCCCTCATCTGCAAGCTATGGCAGTCTTAGGAGAGATAACTGGGTATTTTTTTTGACACCAGTTATTTATCTACTCCTTACCATTTCTTTAATAATCATGTGGATTTCTCCCCAGATATGCCAAGCATGTTCTGAACTCTGAAGTAATCAACTATCACAACTTCCTTTTAATGTGAAGGAGGGGATAGTGGTGGCATAGGGCAAGGGCTTCTCCAAGACTAGCTATGAGCTGACATGACAGTTCTGCTACTTTGGTCTCACCAAGCATATAAGAGGTGGAAGGGGCTGCCAAGTTCCCTACAGAGCTGGATGTCCTTGATGCTTGATCAGTAGCCCCCATCCCTTCTACTGGTTGCGGCTTCTCCCGCCTGCTTTTTGCTTTCCCTTTGTCTTTTTGTCTGTAACAGTATTTTCTATTTTTCAGTTATAGCTGACATTCAATATTATATTAGTTTCAGGTGCACAGTGTAGTGATTAGACATTTATATGACTTACAGTGTGATCACCTAATAAGTCTAGTACCCAACAGACATGTAATAGGTCTTTTTTAAGGTTCAGCATGGGAATTCTCAATTTAGAGCCAGGTCCACATCAATGAAGCTTAATTGAGCACAGATTTAATGCTGTTCTTCATTGAGGGAACACTCTCCCAAAAAGAAACTCCACCTTCTTTGGAAAAGCTCCTTAGAAACAAACCATTCTGAAAAGGTAGAAAAGCTGGGCTCAGGAAAAAAAGGCAAGTGCTTGAGGGAGGCAGGTTTTTCATGTTGTCTTGTGTCAAAAGTACTTTAAACTAGGAATGTCTTCCTTTGGAAATCTGCTCTTTCGCTACATGTTCCTGGGAACTAGATGAGAAGTCCCACTTTATCTATATAACCACCTCTTGTTAGCATTTAGCTGTGCTTATCATCTGGTGGGTGTTTCAGTTACAGTTAGTTTTTTTCCTCTTAAAGGGTGTCAAGATTCTCAAAGTCCTTTCTTTACCTGTTTAAAAAAAAGAGCCCAATTCCCCTAAATTCAGTCCAAAGTGATTTTACTACACAAATGCCCCTTATTTCTTCCTTCCAAAACAAAGAAATGGCAATTTCTCTTAGAGCTGTCAATTATTTAGACTTGAAAGAGCAAATACTAGTTAAATTAAGTAATTAAATTCAAATGAGATCAAATAGGAAATGATACTAGCAGGACATTTGCACGTTCTAAGCAGGAGGCAGAAATATGTTGGCAAAGATAGAAGGTGGCTTTATCTGTGAATTCTCTTGGCACATCAAGCCTCTTTCTAGTTGATTTAGACTCTCTTTGCCAAAAAACCCCACTGGTTTTTTAGCCAATTCCATTCTTCTTAGTAGCTTTTGTTTCTAAGACCAGGTCTGGCCCCAGGAAAAGAGTTAAATAAACAAGATTTGTCTTTGGCTCCCATCCAGTTAGAATTGTAGAACTAGTGATCCAGGAAATTAGCTGCAATGAGAGGAGCGTTAAAGCCATAGAAAATAATACTGAAGGGCAACAGTGAAGGGCACAACCTTAAAAGAGTCTTGCTTATTCCACAAATATTGATTATCTCCTAAGCCAGATCCTGTGAGTAGACGCTGGGGGTGCAAAAGTGCACCTTCATTGAGAGAGAAGGGGTAGGAAGAAAAACCAGAGAAGGAATATACAGAGAGGTCGAAGAACGCACCATCTTCAGTATCAGAGAGCCAGTGGGAGAGGGTATACAGACTATACAAACATACCATATTTTATTGTGCTTCCCTTTATTGCACCTCACAGATTGCTTTTTACAAATCGAAGGCAAATCCCTCCACCAGCAAAAATATTATGACTCGCTTTATTGTGATACTCACTTTATTACAGTGGTCTGGAACTAAACTCACAATATCTCTGAGGTATACCTATATATTGCAGAAGATCATTGGTGTCACATGAGCAGTTGATGTCTGAGGGAAGGTCTTTGAATTTGGTAACCAAGTATATAATTCAAGAAGCAATTTCAGTAAATTGGGGGGAAAGGAATTTTGATAACAGGTGTATAAAGACAAAGTGGTGTTAAAATCAAGAGGTAGCAGGATTTTTTTTTTCAAGAAGACTGGAGGTGGTAGGGAAAGATGTTGAATGGTTAAGAGGGTAGCAGGATCATAAGAAGGTGGGAGGAATGGGGCTTTTTTCATTTTTGTTTGTCCGTAAACAGAATTGCCTGAGCATGATTTTAAATGAATAGACCAACAAATGGTTTTGAAATTACAGCAAGCATTAAATCACCAGAAGGGCCAGCTGAGCCTCACCCCCACAGTTTCAAATTCCATACATTTGGGAGGGGCCTAAGGGATGGCATTTCTAACAAGTTTCAGGTGAGTCTGATGATGCTCATGAAGGAAACCAAATGCTCAGAAGCACTGGAATCGATTGACAAGTAAAAATTAGTAAAAGAGAATAAATGGAACTAAGTTTTAAGAAGAGACAGAAGAATATGGTATGTAAGGAATAAGTGCATTACATCGTAGAAAGAGTTCATTTTCTATCAGGTGGAATGATAGAAGGGGTGGATGAAGATATAGCAATATGTAGAGAAAGAGAAAAAGGACACTGAGTTGATAGAGCTCATATCAGATGGTTTCCATCTTCTCAGTAAAGAACGAGGCAAGATCATCTGCAGTGATGATAAGAAAGGATTCAGACTAGGAAAAGTTTGGAGTAACGATCATTTATAGATTTAGAGAATAATCAACTTTAGGGTGATAAATCATGGGTTTAATTTTAGAAATGGTGAGTTTGAGATGGTAGTGAGCCATCAAGGTAGATTTGCTCAGCAAGATGTTGGCTTCAATAAATGCTTACTTTCTGCAGCTTCCACTGTAGGATGTTCTCCATGAGGGTAAGAATTTGTGTCTGTTTTATCTGTCCTGCTCACTGCCTCATTGCTTGCACCAAGAATAGTGCTTGGCACAGAAAAGACATTCAAATATGCACTGGAATGAACCTGAGAGGGTTGGCTGTGGTTGATTATTGTACATGAAAGTAGTGTATAGCAGAAATCTGCAAGTATCTATGCAGTTAGAACATTATGGTGGTTGAGAGAGTGAGTTCTGAAATCTGAAGACCAGGGTTCTAATCCCAGTCTCTTAGTGCCTCAGTTTCTCCTTCTTGAACATGGGAATGATCGTGTACAGACTGCAAGTTTGCTGTGATAATTAAATGGGATAATACAATATATATAAGGTGCTTAAAACAGTGCCTTAAACAGAGTAAGCACTGAATAAATGTTAGCCAGCTGCTTATTAGCTACATTTCCCCTGAAAATAATTAAGAAGTGTTTCTTAACCAGGTTGAGTCACTATAGGTAATTCAAGGTAGCAAAACATCATTTCTTTGAAAACATACTCTTTCTCAGATTTCACCATTCTCCCCCTGCTTCTCCCCACTGGTAGAGATATTGAGGCATAATTCTATTTAATATAGAAAAAAGGGCCATCAAAGTTGGTTGGGTTTTTTTGCTTCATATCTGATACTCCACCCCAAAGCCTTTTCTTGGTCTGAAGCATTTTTCTAGGTATGCGTTTTAGGACTGACACCAGACTAAACCCTACTACTATTGTAAAGGAATAATTGTAGAAGACAAAAGAAGTAAGTGCAGAAAATCCTAGGGCCTATTTTTATGGGATTAATATAAAAACATTGCCTGCCTTTGCCTGAAGTAAGTATGCTGTACACTACTGACACATTATTTTATTGATGCAATATATGTGGGTGATATTACACTGATATTTACCACTAGAAGTAATGCCTTACTATATAAATTAATATGTATTTTAATAACTGCTTTACCCTTGTTATTGCCCACACAGAATTCTTTCATGTTTTCATAAATCATATTCAGTAATCAACGACTTATATTTCAGGCACTTGAGGTTTGTTTACTTTAGGATCTGTTGCAGTGATAGATACAAAAATAGAAAATTGAGTCCCTGCCTTCAAAGAACCTATGTTTTAATAATTCAAAAATAATTCAAGGATAATAGCACACGCTTAAGCACCATAGTCTTGTGTCACACCTCATGGTGGGGAAGGAGGCACTTATAACAAGCATGGACTATTTTGCTCATCCCACAATAATTTCTGGTCAAGTGAAGAAGATAAAACATAAAAGCATAAAAATTAAAATGAGAAAATAAGACTTAAACGGTGATATTTCACAAGAGGATATAAGATGAGTTAGTTGCAAGGTAGCAAAGAATTTTTTTGAAAAAATAATTGAGTTAGTTACCCTAAGCCAGTATGTCTCAGGACAAAAGGCCAGCCGGTGTCCTTTCCTTAACTTATCTTCAACATAAAGCATTTCAGAACCCACTGAATGCTAATACTTTTCTAACCAAAGCACTGAAAAATCAGTTGGTTGTAGTGATGTAAGACTTTATATTTCCACCAAAGAGGTATATTAAGTGACAAATGACTGATGGAAAAACTATCACTAAAAATTCATTTTTTTTTCCAGAGAGCTGATATAGCTGTTGCTCCACTCACTATAACACTGGTCCGTGAAGAAGTAATAGATTTCTCAAAGCCATTTATGAGCCTGGGCATCTCCATCATGATAAAGAAGCCTCAGAAGTCAAAACCAGGAGTATTCTCATTTCTGGATCCCTTGGCTTATGAAATCTGGATGTGCATCGTCTTCGCTTACATTGGAGTCAGTGTAGTTCTTTTCCTGGTCAGCAGATTCAGCCCTTATGAATGGCACCTGGAAGACAACAATGAAGAACCTCGTGACCCACAAAGCCCTCCTGATCCTCCAAATGAATTTGGAATATTTAACAGTCTTTGGTTTTCCTTGGGTGCCTTTATGCAGCAAGGATGTGATATTTCTCCAAGGTTTGTTTGCATGTCATACCCAATGCCTCCTTGCATTTTATGGGCACAATCCATTCATGTACATTCGGTATTCACTCATCTGAAATCCAGATTTCTTTCATTTAACATTCCATCCAACAACAAATTATCATCAGCCCTTTTGTTTGCTTGTGTCCATGAAGTAAGTGTGTCATTGGTGTTGCTTTGAAAGTCTTTCATGCGTTTCTATGGTATCATATATTCATACACATTATAGCAAACGTTTGAACTCTGGGTAAAAGTAACATTGCCAGCTAATATTAATATTATTCAGATAAAGTTAATACTAAATCTTTATTATATCAAACAGGCATAGTTTCCTCATTGAGTTAAAACTTTTTTTCATTTGTTCAGAGATTAGATCTAGAAAAAATTTGAAACATAGAACTCTTCTTTAAAACCCTCCTACCTTCCACTTTTACTGTCTTTCCTTTTTTTCACTTTGTTCTCACTCTCCCTAGAACTATCCACTTTAGTATGTTGCCCAAGTGTTATTTTTAAAAACTATAAAATTTCTAAAAAGAAAAATAAGAAGAAGTCTGTGCGACCCTGATTGAACAAAGAGTTTTCAGAGTACAAAAAGCACAATCCATTTAAAAAAATGATAAACTGAACTTAACCTAAATTAAATTTTTTTTTCATTTCAAAATACATTAAGAAAAAGAAAAGACAAGCCACTGACTGGAAGAAAACATTAGCAAATCACACATCTGATAAAGGACTTACATCCTGAATATATGAAGATCTCTTGCTATTCAATAAAAAGAGAAACAACCCAATTTTTAAAGTGTACAAAACATTGGAATAGACATTTCCCCAAAAAAGATATACAGATGGCTGATAATCGCATGTAAACATGTTCAACATCATTAGTCATTAGGAAAATGCAAATTAAATCACAATGAGATAGATGCCTCTACACATCAAAAAGACAGATAATATCAGGTGGTCGTGAGGATGTAGAGTGACTGTAAACTGCTGCAGCCAAATTGTAAAATGGTTCAGCAGTTTCTTATAGGTAGACATACACTTAAACTATGACACAGCAATTTCACTTTTAGTTATTTACCTAACAGAAAAGAAAGCCTGTTATCTACATAAAAACTTAAACACAGATGTTCGTAGAAGCTTTTTAGCCAAAAAAAAAAAAAAAAGGAAACAACCCTAATGCCCATCAACAAGTGAATGGATAACCAAAATATGGCATAGCCATACAATGGAATACGACTCAGCAATTCAAAAAATCAGACTACTAACACATGCTGCAACATGGATCAACTTTGAAAACATTATGCTAAATGAAAGAAGCTAAAGACAAAAGGCCATGTGTTATTGAATTTCATGTATTGAATATCTCATATTGTATTATTCCATTTGTCCACAACAGGCAACTCTATAGAGACAGAAAGTACATTAGTGGTTTCCAGGGAGTTGGAAGGAGCTGAGATAGCTAATCAGGACCAGGAGTAGGGTGAACCAAGTGAGGTTGAATAGAGCAAGTACAGGGGTCAGATCCAGTTTCTATTTAAAATTTTGACTCTTTGATCATCCTGGGGCTTTTGCATTAATTATTTTTAATTATTGCATTAAAATGCTATGTATCTTGACTGGTGAGATTTTGGCACCCCCTTAAATTTTGTGCATGGGGGCAAATGCCTCACTTGCCTCACCCTAGTCCCAGCCCTGTCAGGATTAATTATAAATGGGTATGAGAGAATTTGGTGGGGTAAATGTTCCCAAAAATGTACTAAAATTGTTCATTGTACACTTACAGTGGTGGATTTTATAGTATACAAATTTTATCTTAGTAAAGCTATTGAAAATATTGAATGTAAATGTCCTGGACCTCACCCACTTAGTTTGTATTAACTCACCTAAACAAAAATGGTGGTGAATTCATGATCATAAAATACTGGAAGCAAATGTAATAACATCTTTATAATCAGGAAAAAAAATGCTTTGCTCTGAAATAAAAAGTTGTAGCTTTGGTAAAATTGAACATGTATCCAAATACTGACCAGAATCAGTTGTACAAACATACAGAGATTTTCATTTAGAATATACAGACTCAGAAAGTCACTTAGCAGGCTTTTATTTATATTTTATTAAACATGTTGGGATGACATTGGCTAATAAGATTATATAGGTTTCAAGTGTAGATTTCTAGATATGTATTGATTTTTAAAGTATATTTTATTTTGAGAGTTTCCCCTTGGATCTCAAAATATTTAAAATGAAGTCTTGCTGTATAACTCACTGGTAACCATATTCAGTATGTTTTTAGCATAGCCTGTGAGGCAAGCCTCACTTATGTAAGTCACACTTTTTTTCTACCCTCAATCAGCTTGATCATATTCTTTAAATTAGCAGTCCCCAACCTTTTTGGCACCAGTTTCATGGAAGGAAATTTTTCCACAGACCGGGGTGGGGAGAGGGGATGATTTCGGGATAAATCAACCGCATTACATTCAAGCTCACCTCCTGCTGTGCGGCCCGTTTCTAACAGGCCGGGACCAGTACCAGTCCAAGGCCTGGAGGTTGGGGACCCCTGCTTTAAATTATTTCACTCCCAGTCCTGTTTGGGTTTAGAATGTGTCATTTTGTGATATCATCTTGGAGTACCTTTGTTTTTGCTAGTTTCTTTCCCTATTTTTTTAACATTTACTTCAAGAGGCTACGGTTTCTGAATGATCTCCAGATTGAATGGTTTTTAACATGCCTAGTAATCTGTGTTGAGACAATGCTAAAGAGTCATTAAGGCTGAAAATTTTATTGGTTTCTGTGACTGAATTTTTTAAGATTTTATTTATTTATTTTTAGAGAGGGGAAAGGGAGAAAGAGGGAGAGAAACATCAATGTGTGGTTGCATTTCTTGCGCCCCCTGCTGGGGACCTGGCCTGCAACCCAGGCATGCGCTTTTCATTGGGAATCGAACCACTGACCCTTTGGTTCACAGGCCGGCACTCAATCCCCTGAGCCACACCGTCTGGGGCTCTGTAAGTGAATTTTCAAAACCAAATTTGTGATATCCCCACTGGAGTGCTGCATACTTAAAAAGGACTCTTAAAAAGACATTTATTTTTAGAAGTATTTATGCATATTGCTTTGTTAAGTGATAACTTAAAGATGATGACCTAAAAATGACAAGCTCGACAGATTTTTTTTTTTTGATAGCAGAATTTAAGCTGTGGCTCTCGTGTAGCACTGAAATATGTCAAATTCTTTTTTTTTAAAGATGCATATTTTATTATACTCACTAGATACTATCCTATAGAGCAATGATTTTCAAAAATTTTAACCATAGACTTCAGTATGAAATTTTCCATCATGACTTGGTACACATATATGTCTATAACAAAAGTTTCACCAGGCATTACCCTTAGAGTGTGGAGTGCACTTTGATAATTTTCTATTTTGTTATTTTTTTTAAGCTGATCACATCTCCATGGGGCACACAGCCTACAAAATAAAACTGGTCTAGAGTAACAAGCATTATCCTTATTGTGCTTTTGAGTAATAAATTATTACCTTTATCAGCTCTATATTTTCTACCGTATGGGTGATCCCTCCTTGAATACTGCCTTTTGCATCCTTTAAAATAAATTATATCTTTAAGCTTCTTGATAAAATGTTATACTTCTTAGCACATTTGTTATATATCAGTAAGGAGGAAACATGTTTCTCCTTATCTTGATATCCCTGTTGGTTATATATTTGGCCTAATTGTATAACAGCAAACCCCACTGTAATTTGCTTCTTTCTTAACATATTTTAAAATTCCTGATAATAATGTAGTTGCACTCTAAGATTCATGGTTGCCTCGACTGCAAACGCCAGCATTATACTTTATTTGTGGTTAGTGATCACACTTCGAAAGAAAACTCTCCAGTGAGCCCAAAATGTGAGCATACATTGTACATTCTGACTTTTCTCAAAATTGAAACAATTCAAGGAATTAAAAGAGACCATTTGAAGTGAAATTATCAAATATTACATCAGGAGGAGATGCCAGATATAAATGAACCCAACGGCTTGTTTACTGAAGGCAGAGGAACAACAACCTTCACTGAGCTCCCACCATGTGTGAGCACTTTACTTGAGTTATCATGTTGATTTTAATCTTCAAAACACGGCCACAGTGTAGGCATTATATTTATTTTAAGTTGAAGCAGATGACACTTAGCTTAAATAACTTGCCAGGTACATAGCTAATGGCAAAGCCAGTGTTCAAACCTAACTCCAACTCAAAAACCAATGCTCCTTCCATTTCGTGCTGCATTTCTTATATCAGAGACAAAAGAACAGTACCCAGAGAGATAATGTAATGAACCCAAGGTCATAGAGACTTAAAGAGCCAGCAATACAATTGTTTCCACTATCACATACTGTTTCCCACTACCAATCTCAAGGTGTATCACTCGTTCTATTCTTTTCTTCATGTTCATGCACGAGAGCTGTTTCCCAGTCCTCCAACCTCTAATGAAATTCTACCTTCACCCTTGTTGTTAAAGAAAGTAGGCAATGAGTATTTAAAATGCTGTTGAGCATGTGTTCACTCAAAGTAAAAGACCAGGAAATCAGCAATAAGACGTCATTGAGCATCATTCTATCTCCATCAAACAGAACTATTGACAGTAACCTAGAAGCTTAGTCTATGTCAATATTAGGCTTGATATCTTCAGCTATCTCAATTGTTTAGAGTGAACAATTCAGCTGGAGGCTGAATAACCTTTAGAAAGGGTAATGAATGTAATAAGCTCTTATGTCCACATATAAACTGATTTACTAGAGGGTGTTGAAATAAGAAGATATGAGGAGATTCCATTCAACCTCTTCCCCCTGATTAGGAGATGCAGAAATAGGCAGTGGGTATATCCAGATGGAGGGAGCATAATGGTTAAGTATGGGGGTGCTGGAGTTAGTCTCACTAGATTCACAATCTGTTTAAGAGTTGTGTAACCTCAGGCAGGTTACTAAATCTTGCTAAACCCAAGTTCCTCATGTAGGTTCTCAATAAATGTTAGCTATTATCATTTTTAAGTGGCTGTTCTCAACCATATTAGTTTCACAAATACTAGTAGTTAATATTGCATTTGCATTTTAGCTCCTAAAACTTTGTAGGAATACAGCTGAAATTTTAGTCAGTGTCAAATAGCATATTTCTGATGAGAAATAACCAATAGCATTCCTTCTTGAACACATGTAGTGCTTTCCTTAAGGATTACATCACTTGTAAATATTTTGATGGTACTATTACATGATGTCTTACTGATATTGACAGTAGGTTGCAATTTTTAATCTGAAATGTATTTCATTTGTAAAACTTTTATGGAACTGCTAAGCTGTCCAAAGTCCAAGTCCTTCCAGATAAATGCTCCCCCTGCTGACTTTGTTCAGAGCTGCAGAAATAGGAGGGCCAGCCAAGTTAGAAGATGTCAAGACATAGAAAATGGAGAGAACACACTAACTGAACCTGATTTCTGTGTACAGATTATTCCAAAGGCAGTACTCCCCTGTTAAGTTTTCAAGATATCAAATGTTTTGGAGAACAGGGTGGAGGATCTGTCCAGGCTAGGTGACACATAGGTTCTCTTTTAAAATGAAAAGTACGTGCAGAATAAAAAAAAAAAACATGAAGGGGATAAAATAAAGTGAATCAAACACAACAGGATATGTTGGCTCCATTATAAGCAATATCCTTTCCTTTTCTGATGTATGACGAATTTCTTTATCCTACTGCAAATTCACTTCAAAGCAGTAGTGATGTGGTAATAAATTAATGATATAACAGCAGGATTTTTATTACAATTTTTTCATGATTTTTCTAGCTGGGAACTGTAGTTTTCAGTCTTTGGGAGATTGTTATTTATTCCCATCAGATAAGATTATTAGAGCCAAAGATTGATTCTGCACATTTTTTAAAAACCTGTCATAGACACAGCATTGAATGAAGGGTATAAATTATGAATATTTTGAAAGAAAAATGGGGGAGAAAGGAATGATAGTTTGTGCAAAAGAGAAGCAGTTTGCAGTTCCAGCTCTTTACCTTATAAAGCTAGTAAAGTGCCAACTTCAAAATTTACTTACAAAATAAAGGTTACAGCACATAGCTAACTTTTATCCTTTCAGAGGTCATAAGTTACATTTTATTATTAATTCAGAAACTCTAGTTTCTTACAGTTACAGATAACAAGAGCATTATATCTTATTTTGAAATGTGTTTGTCAGTTTTTCTCTTATTGCTAATATACTTTCATTAACTTCATGCCTCCTCTTACATTTCTTCAAAAGGTATGATTTACTCTTTAAAATGCATTTTTAAAAATACTAAATGTTAAGAATTTTACTGTCATTTCATTATGCTAACCTCAAAATCTGTCTTGTGCATCAGAAGTATTTGAAATGAAAAGCTGGGGTAGCCATGCTTATATCTGTCAAAATAGACGTTAAAACAAAGGCTATAGTAAGAGACCAAGAAGGATATTACATAATGATAAAGGAACAATGCAACAAGATTCTATAACCCTTGTAAATATTTATGCACCCAACATAAGAGCACCTAAATATGTAAAGCAAATCTTGATGGACATAAAGGGAAAGACTGACAGCAGTACAGCCATAGTTGAGGATTTTACCACCCCACTGACTTCAATGGATAGATCTTCCAGACAGAAAATCTACAAGGAAACAGTGGCCTTAAACAGCAAACTAGATCAAATGGACTTAATTGATATCTTCAGACCAGTTCACCCCAACGGCAGCATAATATACATTCTTTTCAAGTGCACATGGAATATTTTCTAGGATAGACCACATGTTAGGACACAAAACAAGTCTCAGTAAATTTAAGAACATTGAAATCACATCAAGCATCTTCTCTGACCACAATGGTATGAAACTAGAAATCAATCACAAGAAAAATACTGAAAAAAAAAACCCAATAAAATATGCAGGCTAAATAACCTGTTACTAAGCAATGAATGAGTCAACAACAAAATCAAGGAAGAAATCAAAAGATACCTCAAAGGAAATAAAAATGAGAACACAACAACCCAAAATCTATGGAACACAGAGAAAGCAGTCCTGAGAGAGAAATTCATAGCATTATAGGCCTATCTCAAGAAACAAGGAGAGAACCAAGATGGCGGAGGAGTGAGTAGAAGTCACACTGACCACCTCCCAGGACCAATCTGGAATTACAACTAAATTGTGGAGAAATCACCTGGGACAAACAACTGAACAATAGCGAGAGAAGAGCCTTATACCCTAGGACACACAGAAAATCAGCTTTAGCACAAACTAACTGGTAAGGAGTGTGGTAGAGACTCGAGGTGGGCGGGGCACCCACGGGCAGCAGCACCAGAAAGTATTAAAACAACCAGTTGAATCCCCTTGAGAAGAGCAGGGTCTAAACTATAGGCGGGGATCTCCAGCCAACATCACCAGAGCCCAAAAAGTACACAGAGAACAGCCAGCTGCAAAAACCAGCACAGCTGCTCTCTGCTAGAGACAGGCGGCTAGAGATACAAAGAGCTGTTTAAAGGGCCAACGCATAAATTTTTATTTGCAGCCACTTACCATAGTCTCCAGCAAAGGCAGGGCTAGAGTGGGCTAGAGATGCTGGAGGAGAGACTGGAGAAGGAGGCTTTGGGGAGAGAACAGAGACAGTAGCCAGCGGGATCCCAGTACTGACTCCTCCCCCACATAGCAGCAGCCATCATGCTGACACAGACCACTCTGCTGAGAAGCAACAGCACAAGAGGACTGCCCCCAGGAGGGACTCGGCCCTGGCCCAGTAATGCTAAAGCCTGACTGCTGAGTACAGAGTGGAAGCCACAGATAGTAGATATCTGGCTAAAGGGGGTGCAGAGTGTTCTGGAGACACTTGAGGAAAGACTGGAGATGGAGGCTTTGGGAAGAGAACGGAGAGAGTGGCTGGAGGGATCCCAGTGCTGACTCCTCCCCCATACAGCAGCAGACCTCTGGATTAAGCAGACCACTCCCCTGAGCAGGAGCAGTGTGGAGAATCCAGTAACCCTGCCCCCAGGAGGGACTCTGCCCTGCCCTGTGGTGTCTAAGCTGGCCTGCTGAGTGCAGAGTGACTAGACTAACAGCTGAAGGAGAGAGCCACAGACAGTAGATTCCTGGAAGCCTCGAACACACTGCCTAAGGCCAGACAGGGTCAACAGCTGACATCATCAGAGGCAGGCCCGGAAAGAAAAAACAGTGGCCTCCTACCATAGAAGTTCATACCACGAAGTCAGGAAATCAAGACAGATCAATTTAAGAAGCAGAAGAAAAAGAGAAGTGTCCCACAAATAATGGGGGGGGAAAAGAAATAACCCCCAGGTGAAGGGAAAGGAGGAATCTCCAGAAAGAGAACTAAATGAAATGGAGGCAAGGAAACTATCAGATATTGAGTTCAAAACAATGGTTCTAAGCAAGCTCAAAGAGCTCAGTGAGCCCATAGAGAATTACAAAAAACTACAGGGAAACTACGAGGAACTTACTGCAAACTATATCAGCATGGAAAAGGACATAGAAATTAACAATAAGAGACAAGAGGAAATGTAGAATACAATTTCTGAATTGAAGAACACAGGAGAAGGAATCAAAAGCAGGCTAGATGAAGCAGAGGAACAAATCAGCAAGCTGGAAGATAAGATAGAAAAAAGCTCCCAGAACGAGCAAGAAAATGAAATAAGACTGAAAAAGAATGAAGAGGCGTTGAGGGAAATGCAGGACAACCTGAAATGTAATAATATCCGTATATTGGATACCAGAAGGAGAAGAGGATGAGGAAGGGATAGAGAACCTGTTTGAAAAAGTAATGATGGAAAACTTCCCTAATTGGAGGAGAGAAAAAGTCACACAAGTTCAGGAAGCACAGAGGGTCCCATTCAAGAGGAACCCAATGAGGCCCACTCCAAGACACATCATCATTAAAATGTCAAGTATCAAAGACAAACAGAATCCTAAAGGAAGCAAGGGAGAGAGAGGTAGTAATATATAAGGGAGCCGTGGTAAGGCTAACAGCTGACTTCTCAACAGAAACACTGCAAGCCAGAAGGGAATGGGAAGAAATATTCTAAGTCATGAAAATGAAAGGCCTGCAACCAAGACTACTCTACCCAGCAAGGCTCTCAATTAAAGTGTAAGGCAAAATAAGGAGTTTCCCAGACAAAAGAAAGCTAAAAGAATACACCTCTACCAAACCAGCATTGCAACATATGCTAAAGGGACTGCTTTAAGAAGATGAAGGAAAAGAGTCTGAATACCCAGTTCCTTTCACAGTCACCAATACTTGATATTACCAATATTTTTAATACTTATTAATCTGATTGTGAAATGATGTGCTATTTTAATTATTATTATTTGTTGAAACTACACCTGTTTTTGTATCTTTCTTGCCTAATTCTATTATTTTTACAAACCTTTAAATAACTTTTTTAGTATTCTTTATCCATTTTTTGATTAAATGTTTGAAGAATTTTTTCCCTAAAAAAAATTATTAACCCTTTTTTAGAAGTGTTGCAAATACTTTCCCATTCTATTACTTGCCTTTTAACATTTTTTATATGTATATTAGTATATAGTCTTAAATGTTTAATGTAGTTGTATTGTCAATATTTTACTTTATAGCTTCTGGGTTTGAATATTTTACTTCAGGGTAATTTGTGTTTACTCCTAAAACTCCTTAGATTTTACAAGTTGATTTTAACTCCCCTGAATATTTTTGTATAATGTGTGAAACAGGGCTCTATATTTGTTTTATTTCAAGTAATAGTGGTCTGTGCACCTTATTTGTTGAATAAGCCTTATTTTCCCCCATTGATTTGAAATATCAATTTAACCCTATATTACGTTGTTAGACAGATATATACATTTGTTTCTAGAATGCTCACTATATTTCCTTGATCTACCTGATTATTTCTGTGCTGGTGTCATGTTGTTTCAATTGCTAAAACTTTATAATGGATTTAATTTGTTTAATATTTTATCACAGATTTTGACATAAATAAATAAAATCAATCTGCATTTTAAATAAAAAGAAAAGAAAGAAGGAACTCCTACCTTTTGCAACATCATGGGTGGAACTGGAAAATATTACACTAAGTGAGATAAGACATTCGATGAAAGACAAATACCATATGATCTCACCTATAAGTGGAATCTATTCAACAAAATAAACTAACGAACAAAATAAACCACAGGCATGGAAACACGGAACAGCCTGAAAGTGAGCAGAGGGGATGGGGAAGTAGGACAATGGTGGAAGGAAGGAGAAGGGGCTAGACAAAGAACATGTATGAGTGACCCATCGACGCGGACAACAGAGTGGGAATTGACTGTGGGAGATGGGGGCAGAATGGGATGGGTGGAGGAGAGCAAATGGGGGAAAAATGGGACAACTGTAATAGAATAAACATGATTTAAAAATAAAAATTTTTTAAAAAGAAACAAGGAAAATCTCAAATAAATAAACAATCTAACTTTATGCTTAAAGGAACCAGAAAAAAACAACACAAAGCCCTAAGTTAGGAGAAGTAAATAATAAAGATCAGAGCAGAAAAAAAGAAAACCACCTCAGTCAACCTCAGCTTCAGAGACCAGCCAATATTGTTTTTTGAATTTAACTCCTCATTGCCAAGCAACCATGAAAGTCCCAAATTCATCACAATTATTCCAATGAGGTGAAGGCTGCCGTCAACTGCCTGGCCAACCTGCATCTGCGGGCCTCGTACACCCACCTCTCTCTGGGTTTCTATTTTGACTGTGTCAACGTGGCTCTGGAAGTTATGGGCCACTTATTACAAGAGTTGGCTGAGAAGAAGCGCAAGGGCACTATGCAGCTCTTAAAGCTGCAAAACCAATGCAGCGGCCGTGTTCTCTTCCAGGACATGCTGAAGCCCTCCCAAGATGAGTGGAGTAAAACTCAGGACGCCATGGAAGCCACCTTGGCCTTGGAGAAGGACCTGAACCAAGCCCTTTTGCACCTGCATGCCCTGGGTTCTGCCCACACAGACCCTCATCTCTGTGACTTCCTGCAGAACCACTTCCTGGATGAGGAGGTAAAACTCATCAAGAAAATGGGCAACCCCCATTTCCTTGCCCAGGCTAGGATGGGCAAGTATCTCTTTGAAAGTCTCATTCTCAAGCATAACTAAGAGACTTTGGAGCCCAGGGGCCTTTGAGGGGCCCCTCTGCATTCCCCTGGTATCTGGCTTCTGTCTGAACCTCTCTCTCTGAAACCATTAGGCATCATTGTAACCACCATGGAGCCTTCTCCCACGCCATGGCCCTAGTGGAAAAAAAAAAACTTTTTGCAGCAGAAAAAAATTAACATCATTTAAATGCCCATAATAACCAAAGCACTCTATAGATTCAAAGCAATTCTGATCAAGATGCTAATGATGTATTTCACAGAATTAGAATAGATATTCCAAAAATTTATATGAAACCACAAAAAGACCTCAAACGGTCATAGCAATTTTGAGAAATAAGAACAAAGTTGGAACAATCACACTACATGATATCAGACTATACTTCAAGGCCATATTAATCAATGCAGCGTGGTACTGGCATAAAAACAGATATATTAGTCAATGGAACAGATTAGAGAGCCCAGAAATAAACTCACACCTTTATAGTCAATTAATATTTGACAAAGGAAGCAAAAACATATAATGTGGTGCAGTCTATTCAATAAATGGTGTTGGGAAAATTGGACAGATACATGCAGAAAAAAATGAAACTAACCCATATTCTTACACCATACACAAGGACAAGCTGAAAATGAGTTAAGGACTTAAATGTTAGACTTGAAACCATAAAAATCATAGAAGAAAATATAGCCAGTAAAATCTCATACATTTCTCATTACTGATATACCTCCTCGGGCAAGAGAACAAAAGAAAATATAAACAAATGGGACTACGTCAAAATTAAAAGTTTTTGCACCGCAAAAGCAGCCATCAATAAAATGAAAAAAAAAAACACACTGAATGGGAGAACGTATTTGCCATTTATAAATCTGATAAGGGGTTACTATCCAAAATTTATTAAAAACTTATAAAAATCAACACCAACATAAACAATCCAATTCAAAAATGAGCAAAGGACTTTAAGAGACACTTCTCCAAAGAGGACAAACAGATGGCCAATAGATATATGAAAAGATGCTCAACGTCACTAATCATTTGAGAGGCGTAAATTAAAACCACAATAAGATATCATCTCACACCTGTCAGAATGTCTATCATCAATTAATTGACAAACAACAAGTGTTGGCAAGGATGTGGAAAAAAGGGAACCCTTTTGCACTGTTGGTAGGAATGCAGACTGGTGCAGCCACTGTGGAAGGCAGTATGGAGCTACCTCAAAAAATTAAAAATGAAACTGCCTTATGATCCAGTGATTTCACTTCTGGGAATATATCCAAAGAAACCTGAAACACTAATTCAAAAGAATATGCACACCTCTATGTTCATTGCAGTGTTATTTACAATAGCCAGGATTTGGAAGCAGCCCAAGTGCCTATCAGTAGATGAGTGGATAAAACAACTATGAGACATTTATACATTGAAATACTCTCACCCATAAAAAAGAAGAAAATCCTACTTTTTGCAAGAGCATGAATAGACCTGGAAAATATTATGCTTAGTGAAATAAGCCAGTCAGTGAAAGACAAGTACCATATGATTTCACTTGAATGTGTAATCTAATGAACAAAATTAACAAACAAAATAAAAATGGACTCATAGAGAACAGACTGACAGCTGTCAGAGGGGAGAGCAGTTGCAGGGCTGGGTGGAAAAGGTGAAGGTATTAAGCAAAGAAAAAACACTCGTAGACATAGACAACAGTATGTTGCCTACCAGAGGTAAAGGGGAGTGGGGGCCGATAGAAGAAGGTAAGCGGGTAAAGAGGGCATAACTGGTGATAGAAGGAGACTTGCCTTGGGGTGGTGAGCACACAATGCACTGTACAGATGATGTATTATAGAATTGTACACCTGAAACCTATATAATTTTATTAACCAATGTCACCTCAATAAATTCAATAAAAATTTTTTTTAAGTATTTGAAATGAACGTTAAACATTTTGAAGCTGCATTAATGGAAGGAAAGACACTGGAAAACGACAAGTCTTCTTAACTCAACTATAAAGTCTTGTCTTGTTTTAATAGATCCTTTTAAAAATCTGATGGGGCTGACCCACAGGTCACCTTTTATATAGCCTCTTTGTGAAATGTGGGTTTAAATGGTTCTAGTTTCACTGATGAGAAAAGGGAAATGTGAAATTTCTTATAGAGATCCTTCCCGATGAGTTCCACTGCACCTTTTCTCATGAAAGGATTTGGGTGTATGTTCCATACAAGGGAAGAAAGTGGTAGAAATTTTACCAATACTCTGGTCAAAGCTACTATTGTCTTGAGTAGGAAATGTTAAATCAAGTTTGTGCATTTAACACTGATTCTGAGAAAGCTCCTTTTTCCATCTATGCTGAGGCTTATGAATACTATTATACCATTTCTATGTGGATATTTACCAAAATTCTTTATACTCATAGGCATAGCATAATATTAACCATGTAATTGCCAAAGTCAATAACCATGTAAACAAGAGGCCACAAAAATGACCATTTTGCATTTGGGTTTATTTTCAGTCATGTCAATAGCCAATCGCAGCTAAATCACACAGATCAAGGACATGATTGTGTGAGTCAATTATTAAGGGGGCCAAAATATACAGATTATGATGTGCAAGCTTGATTTTAGATCCTACAAACAGCCATAGTCCATTAACCTCAATAGAATGGCACAAGTGTAATTTCCATATATTACTTTATTCTCCACATTTCAAGTAGACATGCATAAAAAACTATTAGTATCTTCAGCAGCAGAATACAATCCTTCCCAAACCATGACTCTGTAAATACTCCAAAATCAGCTTTCCTCTTGGTCTGAGTAAAACCCCATCATTTCAAGTTAGAATGAAGTTCACAGTTTCATTCCAAATGAACAACAGGTAGCAAGCAATAATGATCCATACATGTTAGTTTTTTTCTACAATTGTATTTATGGAAAAATTGAACTTTCTATAACTTACATACCATTCTGTATTTCCTTATACAAAACATGAGCATTTTGTCGTACAAAAATGTGGGCATTTCTGTCCTATTGTGTAAGTATAGATTATTTATTTCTTATTTCTCCTCTCTGTGCCTCAATTTCTTTACCTGTAAAATACTTCCATTTTCTTATCTGTAAAATAGTACTGAACTGAATTAATGGAGGATGACACATGTAAAGCAATTAGAACAGAATCTGTCACATAGGACGTGCTCAATAACTTAGCAATTATTATCATTTTTATTACCCTATTACTACAGATACTACTTTGGAGCATTAGTCTTTTATACGTTAAATTACTTCCAGAATCAGATCAGTCAAGAATAAATGAAATGTATATGGCAACAATGAAAAAAGACTGTGAAAGATCCAAATTCATAATTAAAATATTCTGTAAACTTTTAGCATTTGGAAGTGAGACAAATTCTTTCTGAATCATCCACATCTTTTTTTACCTCTTGATTAAAAGCAAGATGTTCTAAGTTGAATTCCTAAGAGAGTACACCTACTAGTTAGAAAAATCTGTTGCAAAAGAGATTTTCACATCCAAAAACTTAAATGTGATTATGTTCAGAAATAAATAAATCAGAATTGTTTCGAGCATCCAGGGACCAATAAGAATTACAGACTTTAAAAAACCAAGTACTTTTGTTAGAGTCAATAAATAAAGAACTCTATCAAAACAGTTGCCAAATTTATTTGATCAGAGTATAAAATCTGAAACAACTGAATTCTCCAGAGGCTAATAGAAGGTTATCTTGGGACACAGACATTTAAAGTTGCTTCAAAGTGGAAAAATGCAAGTACAAACAAAGAACTTGATTTGCTAGCTTTCAGCCAGAACTGCCCTCTTCCCACAGTGCCTGGCAATGCTCCAGGCTCCTACGCCTATTCTTGACTTTGTGACAGAGTGGGTTCTTTTCCTGTGAGCATTTCTGGCCATGAGAGAACATAGCCTAACCGGGATGAAGCTCTGCCACAGAGCAGGACTATCCTAGGGATAATATGGAAATGTTTTATAAAACCTGGTGACCAGATTTTCATTTCTGCAGACAAAGCCAGCCTTCAGCAACATTGTGAAGGAGATGGAGTTTCCTCAGTACAAGCCATTACCCGTTACTAAGCATTCAATGCCCTCACCCTGCCCCCTAACTTCCCACAGACCCTCTCCCTGAGTAGCATTCATGATGTAGAGCCATGACTTGAAATCCTGGCTACAGCAGAGCTTTATAACAATGGTGCTGCTTAAATAAAACCCCCAGAGATTCTGATTTAATTGGCCTGGGGTGGAGCTTAGGCATGGTTTTTTTGTTGTTTTGCTTTATTTTGTTTCCAGTTCCCCAGATGATATTGATGGGTAGGCAGAGTTGAAAATCACTGATATCGAAAAACAATATTTCTCAGTTGGGTCTGCAGACCACGGCAATCACCAGTGATGCTTAAGGGGTGAGGGGATGGGTGCGAAGGGTGAAGGGGATTAAGAAGCACAGACAGCCAGTTACAAAAACAGTCAAGGGGATGTAAATTACAAGATGGAGAATATAGTCAATAATATTGTAATAACTTTGTATGGTGCCAGGTGGGTACTTAATGATCACAGTGATCACAAGATATATGTCTGATCACTATCATGTACACCTGAAACTAATATTGTATTTCAACTGTATATTGTATTCTATTTCAACTGTACCGTATTTCAACTATAACCGAAAAATAAATTTTTAAAAAGTGCAGATTCTTGAGTACTCAGATATTCTGAATCTGCATTTTAGCAAACACTCGAGGTAATGCCAATTTATGCATAATTACATTTAAGAACAAAATCTATCTTTATTAAAACTTATCCACCTTCTGTCCCATTTGCTACTAACTGGATAGACTAATCCAAGATAATGGTTGCTGTTGAAGTCAAGTGTTATTTTTTTTTAATCTTTCAACTACAGTTGACATTCAATATTATATAGTTTCAGATGTATAGCATAGTGGTTATACATTTATATAATTTACAAAGTGATCCCCCAATAAGTCTATTGCTCCCTTGATACCATCCATACATAGTTATTACAATATTATTGACTATATTCCTAAAGAAAATGCAGAGGATTATCCCAATAGTAAGAATTCCTATGGTAGATCAGTGAGGGTGGTTTTCTTTGGTTGGCTATTGGGGTGGGTGGAGGGAGATAAACTTTTTAGTGCTTCTCAAATCCTATTATACAGGTAGTAGTGTCCTACTTCACTTGAGGCCTGTCCTGTATGCTAGGGTTCAGGTAGTAGGAGAGAAGAGTTTTGATCCTTGGACCTAAGATCCTGAGCTCCACTAGCCATTTATATAAAGATAATAATAAATATCATTTTATGGCTTCTTGCCTCAGGGGTGAACAGCTCCATAAAATGACAATGTTTTTATTAAATTCATTAAACTCAAAGTGAAAACTATTTACCAGCACCTAGCCATTTCTCTTCAATTATGTAAACATTTGTGACTTTTTCTCCCATGGCATCACCTTACACCACTTGTTCTTAATCTTGGCTGTACATTGTAATCACTTGGCAAGCTTAAAAAAATATATATACATACCTGGGTCTAATCTCCCAGGTTTTTAGTTAACTGGTCTTGGGTGGGCCTGAGCATGAGATTTTTTTTAAAAATCCCAGGTGATTCTACTGTGCAGGCAAAGCTGAGAACCACATGCCTTAAAGGCATGAAACAGTATTCCGCAGATGTGGGTGGCCCAGCAAAGCTCACAGAAAGAGAATCCGATAAGCACAATTATTATATGTAATCTGGAGCTGGTAAAAAATATATATTTTCCTGCAATTAAAAAATATCCTGCTCTGAATCCTATATAGACATAAAGAGCATTATGCATGTATTATTATCATATGCCATCATAACATGGATTGTTTTTGTTAATGTGTTACTTTTGCTTGATGTGTTAATTCCATGACATCATGTACTTTCCTCCTTCATCAGCTACACTGAAACCACTTTTCTTTCCAGGAATAAAGATAAGGACTACTTAAACTGAAATCTGGCCCCTTTGGCTCTGGATTTGTCTGTTTTGTTTTGTAGGTCGCTCTCTGGGCGCATTGTTGGAGGGGTTTGGTGGTTCTTCACCCTGATCATAATTTCTTCCTATACTGCCAATCTTGCTGCTTTCCTGACTGTGGAGAGGATGGTTTCTCCCATAGAGAGTGCTGAAGACTTAGCTAAGCAGACTGAAATTGCGTATGGGACCCTGGACTCCGGATCAACAAAAGAATTTTTCAGAGTAAGTTCTTTACATTTAATTAGGCCTGCTGGTTTTTATTTTATCATCTCATAAAGGCCAATTCACAGTGCTTTTAAGGGAGGGACAGGAAAGACTGTAAATGTTATCAAGGCAGAGCATCTTAAATACAGCACTTTTTAGTTGGTGACTTAGTTTATTGTCCTTCAGACCTAAGACTCATACGTGGCATTATAAGTGGCATGCCAAGAGCCCTTAAACTTGAACTCCCAGGTTTGAATTCCAACACTGTCAGAAAGTGATTGTTTGTCCCTGGGTATGCCATTTAACATCTGTAAGCCTTGGTCCCTTTCCGTGAATAATGAGGGGATTTAACTAAATAATATCTATTCTCCTTTCTAGCTTTTACAAAAGCAGTGATTTTATGTCTCAGCAGTTTAAAGAAGTTAGGTAATTGACTCTGTCTAAGACTCTAAAGACTGATGGACTATAAAATTACATATTCTATTTTAGACATTGTTTTCTACTGAAATGTATTACAGTTATTTCAAGTATTCATGTGTATGCTGATAATTCAATTTTCAAGGAAGTTGATAATTGTTTTAATTTCATGAGTAGATTTATTCCCCCCTCCAACCCCCCCATAGGCCAACTCCTAGCAAAAGTTAATAAAGCTACATGAATACTGTCAAGAGGAAAGATGAAAGGAGATAGAGGTAGAAAATTATAGAGGGATAATATGATGGACTAACCACCTTTACATAAACAATCAAGATCTTTATTCTGTAGCAACTGGACTATAAGAAAGGCTACCAGTGGAGAGTTTAAGAACTCAAATGTTTTTTTCAGTTGCCCCAACCAGGAAAATATGGTGGTTGATTAGAAAATGAACCCATTCTACACATTACCACTGCCTGCCACTGTAACCACTGTAACTGGTTGTAGTAATGATCCAGAAGCCACTTGTGTAATAGGTAAAGAGGAAACATTTAGTCACCTTCTCCAACCAATAACCATGTTATTGGATGGCAGATATAATTACTGACTATTTCGAAAAGTTCAGAGTTAACAGATGTTGGTTTTAAACCAGCTTGTTTTAAGAAGTCAGTAAGAAATATATTTCTCCATGTGTTATTATGAGAGTGGTCCAATGATTTCATGGGAAACCAGGAAGAGTATGTTTTTTGGAACTACAGCAATTGACTAAAAACTGTTTTTATTCCCTGAAAAAGAAGGGGTTAGTTCCAAAACCCTTTGAGAATTCTCATTGGCTCTGGATATCCCTATCTCACTTCTACTACTGTTGACCGAGCAGATCATAATCCCCAACCAGGGAGAGAGGCCCAGTATTGGAAGCATTAAAATGATATGAAGACACTCTGAAACTAATCTAGCCTTGAACCTCACTGCTATAGCAGTCCCAGAAACTTCTCCAGAAATAACCCCCTGTCCCCATGAAATCACTCACACATTTCAGGGCAAGAAGCCAGGGATTTCCATCTGCTGAGTAGCCAGCACATAATCTCCATGGAAATCTGGTTTGGTATCAACTTCAACAGAGCTTATGTTTACCATCCTAATACATATCAAGTTGCTATTTGAAGTAACTGACCACTTAGGCTATAGAGACACCAGACCTAGACCCTCTGATAAGAAATACTTGTTCCACTAGAAAGCATTTTTCCTTCAACAATGATTAGAAATTAAGAAGATGTGTTTTAAATAGTAATCGATAGATGGCATTGATTCCCATTAAGCTTTCAAAGGCCATTCATCCATATTGCAGGCAAAGGAGTCTCTCTGGGAAGATTTATTAGCACAAAGTCTTAAAAGTGTGACCAAATAGTCATTGTCTTCATGCCTAGACCCCATCCCCCACACATTTTGTGTCTTTCTCAAAAACCAGGAAAGCATCTACAAATCTGTTCAATGATGGTTTCATTAAAGAATATCATATTATTGGAGACAATTTGAGTCAATATCCAATTCTGAGCAAAGCTATTGCCACATTCTAATTGGTTTGCAATTTCTAATACTCACCAATTCCTAGTGACCTTTACAGCCAATGAGTAATTTGTATGGAAATTGGGCTGTTTTGAAAATCTGATTAGAGAAGGAGCTGAATATTTCTAGGTATAAGAAAGTGTGAATCATTTTCTAATTGCTGTGCGTGCCATCTCTCCTTTTTCCCCAATTGGTTGCCAGTGACAGCATTAGGACTCTGTAGGAAAGTTCCTTAGGGCAGCACACGAAGACTGATGATCTAAGAGTGGAAGTGAGCAATATAGAAAAATCAACTCTTTAGCCTGCTTGTACTAAAATATTATGTAAATCTAACAAAGGATAAGTTTGGCATTCATATAATACTGGCGGTGGGGGGGCCAACCAATTGGTCTCGGAGCCATTTGTCCTCTTAGGCTCCTCTACTCCATCCTCCTTGAGCCCCATAGATCAGAGAAGACAGCCAGCAAGAACACGTCATCTCACAGGAACTTAACTGCCATAGCATGTCACTTCCCCTTCAACCCTCAAAAATCTCAAGGCAATTTTAAGAACAGCAACTTCTCCACACATGAAAAAATTTGGAACCTCTGATGGTACTCTTTCTAAACTTTACAGGATAAAATAAGATCACATGCAACATTTACAAACATTACATGAGCTCATTTCGGTCCATTCTCACTCAATACTAAAATCACAGGGACCCAGTTGTAATACCATAAAACAGCCTGGGGCCAGCCCTCTAGTTATTCCACTAAGAGAAATAAATAAAATAAAATTCCTTTCTAATTGCCCTGAAGACATTTTTACTCGCCCTGGGTAAGTCTGCCATTAAAATGATGATATTTTTAAATGATTCCTTTATTTCTTTCATTTTCTGAGCTATCCTTAGCTGTTATCTTACAAATCACATGAAGTCACTGACACAGAGGGACCTGTTCCTTCAGGAAAGGCAGGCAAGGAGTGAGCAAAATGTATGCAGCTGAAAGAGACATCTGAAATATTACCAACAACCCTCTTGACTTGAAAACTGATTTCCTTAGACAGCAGCTCCAAAACTGAATGTCCCAACCAGAGGAGGAGGCACTCCAGGCTAAAAAATGAGTAGACAGCTTTATTGTCATTGCCCAGAGAAAGCCACTATAATTTGGAAAGCTGCACTGAAATGATCATTTTCCACTAGGTTTTGGAAATTTAATCTGATACAGATTTGTGTTAAAAAGTAGCAGTGGGATAAAAAGCAATTGCAAAATTCTCTCTGCCTTCAGACCCCTAGAAATATTAGACAACTACAATCCTTGATTTCTTTTCCAGATACTTATCCTCGTTAAAGATAGTTTAAAGGATAAAAGGAGGTTGTTTTTTAAAATGAAATGTTTAATACTAATTTCAACCCCTTTAAGAAAATAAACATAAAAGGAGAGGAGTGGAACTCCAGTGTCCCAGGCAGGACAGGAGAATTTAACTTTGTCTGGAGACCATCAAGGGGACTGCCTTGTCTTCTGAGTTGCAGCATTGTAAGCCCCAGGAAGCACAGGTGAATTACTCATGAATAATGTTTTTGTCTCACACTAGATTTTAACTGTTACTGTTGTCATTGGTCATTTTAATTTTTAATTTTTAAAATGCAGACAGGAAAAAGAAGAGCCCTCCCAAAGTGATTTGAAAAACAGTCCCTACTAATAGTATTAAGATTCTCTTTACACATTCAGAATCTCTCATACACACACAAGTGTTTTCACTTGGAGTTCATATTTTTCACTTGGAGTTCAACATTTATTTGCTTTCTATTACAAGGATTTTGAATAATATGGGAAAAGGAGAAAAATCTCCTGACAAATGCACCTATGCTGAGTATATTAACAGTTTGACATGATCTTTAAGCTTTATTACAACTGAGCTATGTATACAACAGACCTCCCTTACCCCTTATCCTATCCCCTATCCTTAGTAAACACATCAAACTATAAAAGTTTTGTTAAAAAGTTTCTCACCAAGCCCTGTGATGAACTTGAGATCTTGACAAACAATATACCTGGACAACTGCAAACAAATGTAATCAGTTTGAAGACACATATGCTGTGACCAAATGTTGGAAGACACATCCAAACCATCTACTAGGTAGGGAACACATACTAATAACAATAAGAGACAAGTTGACACCAAGGGATGGTAGATCAGAAACATATTATTTGGCAGTTTTAAAAGGGAAAAATTGTTTTCCTTAATGTTGGCATGGATGTTTTGATGCTACCTTATCAAGAAAAAACCCTTATTTTCCTATGTCATACACTATATTACCCAGCAAGAATCATGGACCCTACAGGTCAAGGCTGGATGTGGAAAGGCAGGTACAAGGTGAGGGATGTTGAGGCCTGGCAAGCAGACCTATGGAAGAGGGAATGAAATATTGAGATAGCTATTGGCCTTTCCCATCCCTCAGCACCAAGTGGTTTATGGTTCCATAGGTCTTCCTTTCAAGCAAATCTCAAGCTGGGTGGAAAGAACACTTTTCAAGAGAGTAAAGTTGACCTGACAACTATGCACACAACTGACAACACGCCTAATATCTGTCTCCAAGAGAAAATGTGACAACAAAAGCATGCTAATAATAATGCCTGAGGTATCTTTTATTCATTATTTATTTTTCACTCTTTCCATAACTCTTTTCTTGGGTATGTTCTATGTGAGATGCTCCAGGCTAAGCACTGAGGATCCATCTCCATAAACAAAATTAAATATCTGTTTTTTACCAACTCACATGAAAATACCTACACAGTTATTTTCACCATATTTGGAGGTTATTTTGGAGGCTAGATTGACTTAAAATATTGGCACGGTGACACATGGTTACTAGACTTAGTGTGGTGGTCACATCACAAGATATGAAAATGTCGAATCACTATGTTGTACCCCTGAAACTATATACTACTGTATGCCAACTATACTTTCATAATTTTTTAATATAGATATCTCTGAGAACTAGATGATCATTCATCCAGGACATCTGACAGTGTTTATTTCTACAGAGCTACTTCCCA